GTGATTGTAGGGTTTAGGGTTTAAGGTTTAGGGTTTAGGTGGTTCAAATGAACCAAGCCTAGTAGCACAGAGCTAATCTTAACAGCCATGTTCAGTGCGAATGCTGCCATTCCTCAGGACTATGAACAAGCAGTGGAAGCCGCCGCATCTTTCATGATTACGGAGGGACCGATCGGAAGGATTTGGATGACTGGAACGAAATTACAGATTGTGCCTGCCGTCCAGCTTCAATATGAGCATTGGCAAAGTTCTCACAGTTAAGACGCGACTTTTCAAAGGGTATTTGCGGAGACAGGAATTTAGTTGTGCATCACCACCAAAGTTTCTGAGCCCAGCGCCGGGTCTGCTGCCATACCTTGAAAGTGGACTTAGGGTGGGGGGTTCACAGATCACAGGCTTCTGGAGACAGCATGTTGATAAATGCGAGGAGCGTGTCAGGCAAACCTACAGGGTCCCTCCAACTGAGCGACACAAGGGCTGCTGAAGGTACAGTGGAACTACTGCCTGTAACATGAGACACTTCCTTGATCCTAGCTAGAATCATAACAAACTGAAGCACTGTGGTGGTTTTCGTGGCCGCGGTACTTACAAGATCTTACAAGAGTGTTGTATTAACTGTACTTATCATCACCAAGCTATGGGACGCAAAAGGAGAAGAATATGAAGAAGGAACAGTAGCGGCGGCTCCAGGGATAGTCCTAGAAAGCAGCCAGATGTGAAGACTTCCCAGGAATGCTGAACCCTCTATCCATATCTATATCTCACATCTCTAGTAAAAAGCATACTTCGCCGGTACAAAACCTACGAAAACGGGAGCAAGCTCCGGTATGAGCTACTCTCAACAGTTCTGAGGCGGACTTCTGTTAGCAAGTTAACGCACTTGAGTCCAGATGACCAGAAGGATGTCCACCTTTCACCATTTTCCGTTTTCTGTCCATTTGAATCTCCATTCCTGTTTTTCTGGTTGTTAAAGGGGATATAACATGTTACCTAAGTCCATGGTATTCTTATTGTTATTGGGGGATAGAATATGTTACCTAATGCCAGGGATAGAATACGTTACCTAAATCCATGTTATTCTGGTTGTTAACGGGGGATAGAATATGTTACCTAAATCCATGGTATTCTGGTTGTTGAGGGGGATATAATATGTTACCTAATGGTCCCACAGAGTAGACTTGGCATCCCGACCGGCCGCTGCGGATGGCCGCGAGGGCGGGACATCTGGGTACCCACTTGGCGGATCCATGGCCCTGTGGCCTGCGAAATGAGAGTGTAGGGATGTAGTCCCCCTTAAGTAGATAGAATATGGGGGGATCTTACACACTACAGTCCCCCGTAAGTAGGTAGAATATGGCTTTGGGCCTATTATAATAAGATCACCATCTACTACATATTCTATCTACCTAAGGGGGACTGTAGTGTGTAAGATCTAGGGATTGGGTTGCAGAGTAGGGTTTAGGGATTGGGGTTTGGGGTACAGGGCTGAGGGTTTCGGGGGTTTGGGGCAGCGAGCTTGGGGAAAAGAGTTTAGAAAAAGGCTACGGGTCGGGATCCTTATTAATACTATTACAGTATGTACGAAGACGCCAGTCGCAACCCAAAGTTAGGGGTTCTTCTTTTAGGGGATCCCCATAATAAGGACCATAATATTTTGGGATCCACTACTCTGGGAAACTACCATCTAACACCGCAGTACACTGAAGGGTCCTTCAAGTCCACAATCCAGGCCTGCCACTCAGCCAGGCTGTTGCAGAACTCTTCTGAGATGCGAAAAGACCCCAGGTGTGGAAAAAAGGGGGCCAGCTAAAGTCGGCTTCAGTGGTTGTGGTAAGTTATGTCGATCTCGCTGACGGCACTCTTTGTCTTTGCCCCAAGTCATGACATGGGAGTTTGAAATGCATGTCTATTGCCGGTCACAAGGGCAACATTTGACGGCTGCTGCAAACTGAAACCTGAGTTACTTTGACTGAAAGCTTGAGCCGCAGTAGGCGCAGTGAAGCCTACAGCAGTCTTCCAAAGTCACCCTACCAAGTACCGACTTCTGCACAAACGTTATACAATAATACATGTACAAGTAACCGTATCATCGTGACCTGCAAGTCTGGCAGCAAACGGCCCTGTTAGCATTCTGATTTCTGGCCCTCCTGTACTCAAAGCTCGCACACTCTCATTTCTTAAGTCTTACTCGGGCAGAGCTCCGAAGCTCTGATATGGTGAAACCGAGAGAAAAACTGAGGCGTGCGACATGATGCCATGCGGCTATGTACATTTTTGCGTGCCTGGATCAGTACAGTACTCTCTTTGCCTACCTCCGCCGGCTACATGGCACTGTATCCGAACAAAGGTACCTTGGTCCTCAAGAAGTGCAAGCACTTTAGAGGACCCTGTGTGTCCTTTCAAGATTCTGAGAAACCCCTAAAACATGAGCCTAAGTTGAAGGCTTTAGGGTTTAGAGTTTAGGGTTTAGAGTTTAGGGTTTTTAGAGTTTAGGGTTTAGAGTTTAGGGTTTTTAGAGTTTAGGGTTTAGAGTTTAGGGTTTAGAGTTTAGGGTTGAAGGATAGAATCCAAGGCGCGCAAAGTTGCCGATTTCAGCAGTGCAATGGTTCCGCACACCGCAGCGGCCTCTGTTTAAAAGGGACTTCAAAGCAGCGTGGGTCATAATTGAGATGGGGGTTTAGGGTTTAAGGTTTAGGGGCGTGGAGATTGGGTGTGTTTTTACAAATCCATATAGGCCCACCCACCCATACACACACCAGACAACTTAGGAACTGAATTAACTTCAGTTACTAGAAGAAGGAAACCCCATTATTTACTTTCTACCTATATCTCTGACGTAATATCAACAGCATTGCAGATTACCACAACTCCCACCGCAGCCCGCACCTGAGGGTGGCACTTCGACTAAGCGCTTCCGATGACGAGGACGGCACCTGAGCAGTGAATCTCAGCTTCTTGTCATCTGAACAGTGTTTGGTGGGGTTATATGGGTTATATGGGAAACTACTATTCATAATAAGGTTTAGGTTTTGAGGCTTAGGGTT